ATTCGGAAACTAACTACTTGTCTGGATACTTTACTTGTCCGCATTTACAGGCGTATCCACAAGACGCATTTATTGGCCGGATCTAACGAGTTATTACTACTATTATCATCGCTTATTTATTGCCCGTATTTGTTGGCAGGTACGATGACCATATTCTGAAAGTGTGTCTCATGCCAGATTTTGGTGGCCACTTTTCTTTCCATTTTTTATGACATTTTTTAATTTTTTTAAACCTCTACGATTGCTCGTTGTCCATCCATCTACTACTGGATGGTGGGTGGCGGTAGTCCTGTCGCGATCACCTTGCTTGCTTGCATGCTTGCTTGCTTGCTTGCATGCTTGCTTGGTCAATAGCACTTGGTCAAATAGAGTGTTTGCCGGTTGCCCAGATGCATCACAGATGCATCAGTGAGACCAAAGGCTCGATCGCGTCCGCCGGTCTCATCTTTTAATTAGTTGGGCAGGAGGCACGCCAACTTGCTGTAGCAAGTCGGTCCCACGCCGTGCTGCTCGCTGTCTGACCCCACTCCCTAGCCCAGCCTTTTGCTCCCCCCAGCCTAGTTACTATCCCCCTTCCCTTGGTCTAGTGTCGTTTCTGCTCGGCTACTCAACAAAGTATTTTCTTTTCCTCTGAGGCTCCGCGCTGGCCGCATGGCTAGTACCAGGGTGCGTTCGCTTCCACGCGTGTCTCCCCCTGTCGGGACGGGTTGTCGGCACTACGGCGTCCTTACCGATCTCCACGTCCTCTTCAGTCCCCACGTTCTCCTGAACGGAGCCTACGTTCTCATGAACGGTGTCTTGAACGTTCTCATGAACGGTGCCCAAGTCCTGGCTACGTCGGTGACGAGTGGCATTACAGATGCCCTTGGTCGGTCCGGATGTCGAGTTGGGCGGTAGGGTTATGAGGACGCGTTGCTCATCGGAAGCGAACAAGATTCGGTCGAGTCCATGTTCTCTGCATTTCTTCACGAGCCAAGACATAGTCTCGAGAAGGGCGGTGTGATAAGAGAGTGCTTGCTTCAACGACCGCTGGAAACTGCTCTCCTTAGTCGGCAATTTCAATTCCGCTTTCCACAAACCGTTCGCCGCCGCCGCAGCGAACCACTTATCGTAGAACCGGCTACCCTCGCATTGCGCCTTGAACTCACTACTCGCCAACTCGCGTGCTTTCGCTCCTCCCGTAACCAACGGAATGAACTTCAGAAACGCTCGCAACTCCCCTAAATATGACTCCTCCTGACCCTGACTCTCAACCCCGGGGCAATGGTCTTGACCCCCAACCCCTGGCACCCCAGCTCTTTGGTCGCAACTTTTCAACTCAAACGAACTAAAGTCGCCGTCCCAGGATCGCTCCTCCGCGCTCCAACCGGACTCCACCGCCACACGCCGCGTGCAGGGCAACTCACACAAGGCAGCGCACTCGCTCTCTGCCCAGTCCAAACATCGCCCTACAACTACGCACCCGTCACACGCCACACGCACCCACACACATGTCCCACGTGTGTAACACTCCCACCCCT